TATGATTTTAATTAGGCTTACAATGTATATAAAATCTATTTCGGTTATAATATTTTCAATTAAATTAAATAATATTAGGCAGATTACCCGGTTTTTATAGTTTTTCGAATAAAATTTAATGGTAATGAATGAATTGAATGCAGTAGTGGTTAGGCCGGGAGGGAAGAATCTCTCTCATAAATTGCAAAAGTGTATTCAGCTGTTTGAACTTGTGAATTAAGGTCTATATTATAGGCTTGTTCAAGTAGTATTATTTTCTTATTTTTTTTTTTTTTTTTGATTTTATAAAAGAACTAACAAGAATGCTTTTTTTTGATTATACAGGGTGATTCAGTAAAGAGAGCAATATTATATGTTATTGTTTAGGGTATCAAATATGGGTAAAATTTTTGTTTGAAACAAGTTGGAAAATCTCAACGATTTCCGAGATACCGGTACTTTAACGAATTTCCACGAAATTTATACTCGCCCAAGCTTTTTTATTTATTCCCTTTCAAAAAAGGTACAAGCTTCAAATAAACATTTTCTGAAAGAGGTAAGGGGTTTGAAAAACACATTTTAATTGATTTTGTATTTTATGTACTTTCGAAATGCCAAGTATTTGAACTTTGGCAAAATACAACTTTTTTCAATTTTTAATTTTTTATATTTTGTCCCAAAACTTCGAGTGAAATTTTTAGAAACTTTTGTTTACAGAATTTTGGCCATTTTGTTAAAATTTAGTTAAAATCACAACATATCAAAAAGAAACTTTTACGGTACAGAAGATATAGCACAAAAGCCATTTCTATGCCAAGATTTTAGAGGCCCTTTTCTAAATTTTAGAAAAAGTACCGGTATCTTGGAAACCGTTAAAATTTCACAACTAATTGCAATCAAAAATTTTACCCGTTTTTAATACCCTGAACAATGATATATAGTATGGTACTTTTTATTGAATCACCCTGTATATATTTTTTTTTTTTAAATTCGGCACGGTAACACTTTAAATAAAATTTTATTGTGGTGTCATTTAAAACATATATAAGAAAATAAAAACAATTGAAATTTAACAAAAAAAACAACTAAGAATAAAAAAAATAACTATGTTACTTGTTACTATTTTAATAAATAAGCATATAATAAATAAATAAAAATAATAATAATAAATACAGGAGTGCAAAAATAAATAAAAGCATTAAAACAAAAACAAAAAATAAATAACAGTATCCAAATGATGTTATATATTTGTATAAATATATAAATGCATGTATATAATGTATCTTATATACATTCGTATATAATATGTCTTCATGTTTTCCAGAAGTGTATATATAAGTATATGTATATATATATATATATATATATATATACATATATGAAGAATGTATATATAATGAATGCGTCTCAATGCCAAGGGTACAACTACTATTTTATTATTATTATTATTATTATTTTTTAATCGAATATAAATTAAAATATTTTTGATTTATTTATTTTAATTTCAAACAGTTCTTTAAGTGATCAAGATCTCTCTTCCTTCCTTAACACAAAATATATAAATCGGTTTGCAAGTTGCACAGATTTTTTCACTGAAAAGAAAGTTGATTTTTTTTGCATTGCATTTTTTCATATATTTCATTTAAAAAATAAATATAAGTTAAAAAAAATTTAAACTCAAATTTACTAAATTAAATCAATTCGTTTTCATTTCAAAATTTCGAAAAAATTCATTTAAAATCAAATATTTTAATTTTTTAAATTAAAAACTTTAAATATTGTTTTTTAATTTAAATTCAAATTTACTTTTAAAAATTCAAATTTTTATTTTCAAATTGAAAAATTATTAGAAATTATTTTTACATTAAAACAAAACTCGGTTAAAAAAAAAAAACAAATCTAATTTTTTTTTCATTTATTGTGGTGTGGCCAAAAAAAAATTGAAAAGAAAAATTAAATAAAAATTTGTGAAAGTGTGTCGATTTTTTGTTCATATATAGTAAAATCCGGTAGAAGCAGCCACTCAGGCAGGCGGGCCAGCAAAGAGATCAACAAGTGTCTTTTTCTAAAAATATATTATAAGTGCTTTATTTTTTTTTCATTCTTTCCTTGTTTTCTTTCGTTTTTTGTTTCTTGTTTTTTTGTTTATTCTTAGAATAAATGCTACTTTATTTTGTATTAAATAGATTTTATTTTTCGATTTATCATTTAAGATTATTTAAAATAAAATTTATTTTTTATAATAAAAGAAAAAATGAAGTATTCTTTTTAAATATTGCATAAATATTTAACGGCGCGTCGAAAAATAAAATTTAATTATTATTTAATTAAACTAGTTTTTTGTTATTAAATATTTATTTATAATAATTAAAATAATATATTTCTTTTAAAAATAATAAATTATAGAAATTTTTATAGAATTCTTCAAATTTTAGTTATTAGTGTTATTTAGTTTTATTAGGTCTATTTAAAATTATTTTCACATTATTTTCAATATTTAAATAGAATTTATAATTCCCTCACATTATATGGTTCAAAAATTGCCTGCACAAAGGCATTAAGAAATAAAAATTTAATTTTTAATTACCTATTTAATTTTTTTTAGTTTTGCTCCCTATTTAAAATAATTTGCCCATTATTTGCAATATTTAAATAAATTTAATTATAATTTGTAGTAGTTTATAGTTAAAAAAAAATTGCATATCTTCAGGGGCGTTGGAAATAAAAATTTAAATGTGAGTTAATTAAATTAGTTACCCATACTATTCATAAATTCGAATAATTTTTTAATATTCAACTAGATTTTTTTATATAATAAATTCTCCATATTACATGTCAGGAAACTGCTCAGTGTGACTATTTTTCAAAATAATTCAAATATGTATTTTTAAAATTTTGTTTTAATAACTCAAAAACATATGGAAATATCAAAAATTTAAATTAACTTACACTATCAAATAAAGGGAAAAGGTGTCAGGATGTTCTTAGGACATTCGACAAAATTTAAAAATGAATTTAATAAATTTAATTTCGTAAATAGTAAAAAGTTATTCCTTTTCTATTTCTTATTGTGTGAAATAAAAGTTTTTAGATGAAAAAAAGTTCAATATAGGGGCGATATCTAGAATCTAGTGCAACCAACTAGAATTTCTAGGCTTCTAAGAAAATTTGTAATTGCATATTTATAACTGTAATTGCGAATATATGAGAATTTATAAATGAAACGAGAAATTTCCACAGAAAAATTTAAATATCGAAAATTGCGATACTTATTCCAAAAAAAAAAAACTACAATAAAAAACAGGATTGTTTTAACGTACACAAAAAATTAAAATATAAAATTGTCTGCCATTTTGGAAAATCGGACATTTTGCAAAATTCGCCATTTTGGAAATTCTTCATTTTATAGAAGAAAATATTTTTCTTTAATTGGCCATGTTAAAAATTTCTGTTATAAAATTCATAAATTTCTTCTATAAGTTCATAAATATTTTTGTCTCAAACTAATAAAAAAATAAAGAGTTTTTGAAACTAATTAATTTACAAACATATTAAATTTGAAAAGAAAATGAAATTTTAAGATGACATACATGAAAATATGTTTGATTTTTAGAAATTCTTTGAAAATTTTGAATTCTTTGAATTATGTATTCAGTTTTGAGCAAGATTTTGTCCATTTAAATTGTAATTTATTTAATATTTTCATGCTAGTGTTATAATTTTTATATCAATGACGTTATTTCACAAAAAACAGTTGAGGGGGCGTGTCTTCATATTGAAACGCCCATATAATATAATATTTAATCATCAAAATCTATATTGAACCATATAAATGAATTTGATTTTAAATATGAACTTGATAAAATTTATTTAAAATTAAAGTTGATTAAAAATATTTGAAATTGAATATTAAAAGTTTTTTAATAATTTATTTTATCAAATTTCTAATACATCACATGTTTTTTTTAAATACACCATTTACAATAATCATATATTAAATAATGCCGAAATTTTTGAAATAACGATCTATATAGCAAAGTAATACCAAATATTGAAAATACCGTTATTAAATAAAATTAAATCCGATATAAAATAATTTAAAAAAATATTCACTTTTATTGAGAAATAATATTTATTCATGCATATAAATTAAATACTAAATTTACCGACGCGCCAACACTTCAAAACAAAAATTTCAAAATTTAATAAAATATTTTAATTTTTAAATTTTTTTCTTTTAGTATTTTTTAATTTTTTTTTTTTTGTTATTTTGCTGCAGAAATCTGTAAGTATTACAAAAAATACTAAATAAATAATAAAAAAATTAAATAAAGAAATTTTTGCATACAAATAGGCGTACTAAGGACATTAATTTGATACGTTAGGATTTTTTTTTGAAATTAAATTTAGTGTTTTTTTTTGTTTCGGTATGTGTGTGCATTTTCAAACAAAAAAATTTTAAAATTTCAGGAGAAAAATTTAATAATGTCGTTAAAAATTTAATAGTCGATAATGACTCGACTACAGAATATTCATTTTAATTGGAATGCTTGGGAAGAAGTGGGATATTTCTAAAACTTCTTTAAAAAAAATTTTGTTGATCGCGAAAATGCCTTATTCTTAGTTTTCATTTCTTAAATACGAGTATAAACTGCAATTCAATTTATTTTTTATCCGAAAAATCGTGCTTGAAAATTTAGATTTAAGAGAAGTGTACGTTTTGTTCATAACATCTCAGAACAAATTTATTTTAAATTTTGTGACGGAATATTGCCTGAAAACCGCAACAGTTTTTTGCTTCTAATCACAAATATTTTAAATATAATCATTATTATAACTGTTACAAATATTAAGTGTTATATTTGGTTCATATTTTTTATACCATTTATTGTTATTATGTATGATTATTTGCTTGAAATCTTTTCTATTTTCCGTATTTTTTTTTTCATTATACTTTTATATTCATTTCAAACTATTCTTTATCTTTTAACTTTATCTGTTTAATTGTTACAATATACTTACTTACAAAAGTTTAAATGAAATTAGTTATACAGATATTTTAGGAAATTATTAGGATAGTAGTGTACGAACGAAATGAAGCTGTTAGTCAGTTGTAAAACTTCATATATACATATATTAAATTTTCTAAAATGTTAAAGAGACGATTGTAGTATAAAACTTTGCGCTTGTTTTCTATTGTCCTTTTAAAAATCCAATATTGAATAGTTATAAAATTGAGAAATATTGAGTTCCAAAAATTTAATTTTGGTATGCACGGCCTTCCAATATCTTTGATAACAAATACATTCTGCTGCGAATAAAAAAAGTGTGGATATTAAAATGATAAACAAGCGAGAAGTGATCGTGTATTGACTATTATTACAACAAGTAATGTGGAGAATAATTTCTTGATAATTCGTCTCTGTATTTTAATTAGCAGAGCGTCCGTGTAGAAAGTGATCACTGGTTAGAGTCCAGTTTGAGCAGAAATTTGTTTTTAATTTTTTTGTCTTGTTTTGACTCGCTTTTTTTGATTATCTACGTACATATAGTCTACGTCCATCTATTCTGTAGGTGTATGAAGAATTTTTTTTTGTTTACTTCATACTAGCACAGCAAATTTTAGATATTTATGATATTAATCATATATACAGGGTGTTTCGCATAAGGTGGCAATAATTGCGGGAATGATTTTTTGATCATTTTCCAACAAAAAGTTATATGGGTGGAGTGGGGTGCAGATATACTCGTTTTCGAAGCACAGTCTGTTGAAAAAAAGGGTCGATTTTTCTGCATATAAATAAATGCTTATAACTTCAGAACCATGCTACATACAATCCCAAATTTTATATATACCCACGCACACATATGTGATATAAATTCATTTTAAATTAAAAAATCTTTTCATAAATTTTTAATAGTAATATTATTGTGTTTATAAATAAAGACATAGTTAATAATTTATTAAAGTGTAAATTAAACGAAAAGTTCTTATATAGTAAAAATTTTAGGATAAACAAAAATACTTAATAACAAACAATAAAAAAAAAACAATAACGACAAAAAAAAATTTAAACTAATTCAAAATAATACCAAAAAACCGAAAAAAAATGCTTAAACATCGTTTTAATAAGTCTAAATCTCAAAATTCAAGATTAAATAATTGCCCTCAGGGCTCAAATAATTCTATAACTGAATTAATTGACATCGGTGGTTTATTTTCACCGCCAGCATCATCGACAACTGCTACCACACCAAATTCAACTAAAAATTATCAATTATCACCAACACATATTATTTCTTCAACTTCAGTATCAACAACTGCTCTATCAAATCCAATAAATGCATGTTTAGCTACAAGTCAACGTTGGTCATCATCTTCATCATCATGTGGTGGTGGTATTGGTTTTTCAACATCAAATTATCGTCAACATAAAAGTGATGATGATGAAGATGAGGAAAATGATACATTTAAATTATTTGCTCGTATTGCACGTACTGGTGGTGGTAGCTTTAGTACAAGTACTTTTTGTGGTAAGAATAAATCATCAACAACAAAAACATCATCACCATCATCATCAAAATCAGCTTATATGTTTGGCCATAATAGTATTGCTGCTATACTAACATCACCAGCCAAAGTAAAACAATCATTTCGTTTAACCAGACGTCGTACATCATCATCACCAGCAAATCCAGCTGTTGTTGCTGCAATGGCAGCTGAAGCATCTATTCCTGATGTAAAATCATCAATAATAGGTAATAAATTAATAAAGAAAAAAATAATTAAAAATAAACCTGATGTGATCAGCATATAACCGACCGCATTGATCTATTATCTTAATAATATGCAATAATATGTATATTAATTTCAATAAATCGAAAGGGAAGTGTCAGTTTTTGTTTTGTTATTGAACAGCAGAATGCCCCATATAAAATTTCAAGAAATTCAGTCAATTAGTTTCTTAGATATGACCAAAAAAATAAATTAGAAAAAAATCGAGTTATTTTCTTGTAGAAAGTAATTTAATGTCGTACTGTCAGTATGATTTGATCAAACGAAGCTTGTATTTATATATTAACAAAGAACTATGTTTAATATGTTCTTAAAAATGAAAAAAAAATTGAAAATTAGTCTTAAGTAAAGCGACTAACGAAAGAAGTTTAATTATACAAAGCGAAAGAAGTTTATTTATGCTATCACGGAAAAATGTCTTTTCCTTGAAAATTCGACTTGTTGTATCCAATGCGGTCGGTGAAAATATCGATGAATATGTGTGTATATATATGTATATATGTATTTATGTGCTTAAAAAACCAAAAAAAAAAATCAAAATAAAATGAAATTCAACTTTATAATTATTATGAGTAAAAATAGGAGCAGCAGAAGGATTAACATCAAAAGTATCAAATTCGTTATCAGCAGCAACAGCAACAGCAACAACAAAAACAACATCATCATCACCAAAATCCAAATCAAATGCAACAAGTGCGGGTTCACAGGAAATTATTAGAAGATGGAATTCATTCCATTCAACAAGAGGTGAATGCCATCCAAATCGTTTCCGTCGTAATCGTAAATCAACAGCACCACATATTGATACAACATATATTACTAATAAATTAACAAATCTTAATTTATATCGTAATCAATCACCATCACCATTACGATCAAGAGATAATTATGATAATATTAATTGTAATATTAGATCACTATCATCCCCATCGACATCTACAACATTATTACAATCATCATCATCACCATCATCATCATTTAATACTACAACAACATCGTTATCATCATTGTCTAAAATGAAAAAACAATCAAATTTATCAATATTAACCATAAATGATGATTCAATAAAAACGAAAAAAATATTACAATCAAAGAATAATGATAAAATAAAATCGCAACAACAACAATTACAAAAAAATAAAAAATCACCACCATCTACATCAAAAACAACAACAACAGAAACAGGAATAGCAACATCAACGTCATCATCATCATTATCACCAATAAAATCACAGTTATTAACACTATATTATGATAATAAAAATGATGAACATCAATATCAACAACAGCATCATGGTGGTAGACATTCAATATCATATCAATCACGTCATTCAATAACTGAAGGCTCAAAACGTATAACAAAAAATTGGTATTTAAAAAGAGGTAAATCATTAGCTGATGAAAAAATATTAAAAGAGTCAAAAATGGGTCTAAATACAGTAACATCTAAAAAAATGCAATCAACAACACCAACCATTGTTGAAACATCATTTAATTCTGATATAACAACAACAATTGTTACACCAACAACAACCATTTCTGAAAATTGTGATAATATTATAAAGGATCCTTCATTATTACCATCATCATCAAAAATAATTAATAAATATAATAATTCTTCAAATATTGATACTAATGATTATTATGATGATAATAAGCATATCGATAATAATGATGATGATGATGATGATGATGATGATAGCGAGAATAATGATGAAGATAATGAAAATAAAAAATATCATAATATTGGTTTTAAATTTTATGTACCATCTCATCAAATTGATGTACGTAATGAAGATATTTATGAAGATAAAATTAATATTAAAAACGAAGATGATACCAGTAATATAAATAAACAAAATAAAATTCGGCCAACATCAATTTTAAATATTAAAAATGATGATGATGCTGATAATAATGATGACTGTATTAATAATATTAAACAATATATTGATGATGTTGATACTCCCGATGCTGATAATGAAAATTTACCATGTAATAATACTGCTTCTACTACCGTTACTACTTCTATTACTGCTGCTGCTACTACTTCCACTACTAATAATTTATCATTGCCACCGCAATATCCGATGGGGTAAAAACATAAAACAAATGTTATATGTGTAAAAAACAAAACCAATAACACATATTTTTTTATGTAATTTCATCTCTTTCTTCATTCTATGGCTCTCTATATCTATTTGCATCTATTTGCATTATGTCGTTCGTTGTGTTTCTGACAACAAAATATTTTTATAAAAAAACAAATCAACACAACCCTACCTACCCTTCTCCCCTATTTTAAAAACAATTTGTTGTTGTGTTTCTATACCTATATATATATGCATATGATTGTACACACACAAGCACACACCATTTATAAATATTTATTTAAATTAATATTGTACGTAATTAAAATTCCCTGCAATTAATTGTGTAAATGTCAACGTGACATTAAATTAAAGTTTACGTTACGTTGAAGAATAATTTTGCATTTTTTATTTTTATGATTCTTATTGTATTTTTTTATCCTTTCTCTATATACATATGTACATGCATTTATGTTTGTATGACTAAACAAAAACAAAAAAAAATAAAATAAAAACTTGTTGCTTCTATCCATCCAACTTTTTTTTTGTTTTTTTATTGTGTTTTCATCAATCAAAATTCGAAAATAAATATTTTGGTTTTTTTTTACACTCTTTTTTAAAATTTTCTTCGGACTTAACTAGGCATTTTAGATGTTTCATTGTATTTCGAATTAAATATTTAATACTCATTCATTATTCCTATTAATCCATATGCTATATCTTTCTTTTTTCGTAAAATAACAAATATTTTGTATTTGAAAGTTTATTTGAATGGTTATATGGTTGGAAACCAATAAGTTAATGCTCATAAAATATGATGTTTTATAATTGTATAGTATGTGACTTCGTTATTATCGAACATCTATTTATATAATGTTATATATTATAACATAAGCTGTCAGTTTATAATTTGGAAATTTTCTGAACTTGTATATTGTAATAAAATTAAATAAATAATTGTATAAAAATATAATTTCTCTCTTCTGTTATCGAACTACACACTTTCCGTCATGATATCATGTACTCGTATATATGGGCTTTATATGAAAATACAGTGCGACATTTGACAAAAATTTTCCTTTAATTGTTTCAAATTATACGTAACACACTCTTTTCATATCATGATAAGTGTTTTGAATGTTGGAATATTCTTTTAACATAAATATCTAAAACAAAACAAAAAACACAATTTCGGTACTGCTACATACGGTAACTTTTGCTACAACGCCGAAAACTACTAGAAAATTCAAAATTAAAAAAGTTATTAATGGAATGAGGAATAAATAAGAGACCGATATCAAATAAGCGATAGCTAGGTTTCATTTGTGATCTCTTGCGATCTTTTGTTTCTAAATTGATTTCAAAATTTTCGGCATTTAGCAGAATGTTATCAGATTTTGAAGTAGGTTCGAATTATACACATAAATTTTTAATATGTGTGTTGTTAATTTCCTTGAAATTGAATTTTTGAAAGGGTTAATAAATAATATACAAATCATATATGATTTGTTTTTTTTTTTTTTTTTTATTTTTGTTTTATTTCATAAAATCATCAATTGTTAATTCAGTGATAATAAGTATAAGAGACCGAAAATGATCTGAATTAGGTAAGTAACTATGTATGTATGTGTATAATTATGGAAAATCTTATATTATCACTTTTAATTGTAAAGTATTCATTCACATTCTGTTAGTCACACGTTACGGTATAAGGAACAGAGGTGAGGGGGATAGAAAAATTTATTTTGGTCACGTCACTATATTGAAATTGATTTAGAAATACATAAAGGAAACAATTTTGCACCGCAGGCGGCAGTATTTGAATAGCTGAAGTGTTGTCAAAAGCAGAAATACTTTATGCGAAGACATTTTAATGTGATATACATATGTATGTACGTCTAACAGAATGTGGGAGAATATATATTAAAATTATATACTGTTATATATATATATATATAAATATATTAAAGGGAAGATATTTCCATTATTCTCTTTTGTAGTTATCGATCATTTTAAAAATATAATTCGAAAGTGTAAAATAAAAGGTGTTTGTTTTTATGAAATAGAGAAATAGAAAAACCTTTTGTTTTTTTTTAGTTTAAGGAGTGCAAATTAGTCAGTATTAGGTATAAATATCAATTGTCTTGCCCCAGCAGCTTTTATTGCATTGAAAAATTTATAAAGCTGTATTCAACTGAATATAGACTACTTAAGTTTTTCCTGAAATTTATCACTATTTGATATTTTTAACCATTACCTCCCTTCGGATTTTTCACTTATTTGAGGCTGTTGTATTGTCTAACCAATCTCTTGTAAAAAAATAAAGAGAGTTTTTTTTTTGTAGTTGATGAAAATATTTTATTGACCTGTTCATTTTTTCTATAAATTTTATAACTCCCCAGATTTAAATTTAAAAAAGATTTTTGTGTTTAATTCTTACATAATTACAATAATTTTAAATTTTTAATGTGGTTATATGTACCTAATATATACAAAATTTTATTACAACTTTAATTATATTAACACACATTTTTTTGCTTTTTATTTTTTAAATTTTTACAATTTTTACAAATTTTGATTGGAATGAAAATTTTTATATTACATCTTTTATGATTAATTAAATACGAGATGTGAATTACAAAATAACAAATAGTGGATTCTTTTATTTTTAATTATTGAGATTAATTGGAACCCATGACTATAAAAGGGTCAATTGCAATATTGTTGTTATATGAAAAATACTTGAAATTACACATTTAAAAGGAAAATTTCATTTTGATATGAAATCAGTTCAGAAAATGTGTGTGTCATATTTAAATTGATTGCAAAATGAAAAAAAGTCAATTATGGGCATTTTCACTGTTCATTTCTTAATGAATGGAATTTTGTATGACTTCACCTCCATGATCAGCACATAATTCTGGAATACTATATATATTTACTTTTTATATTCTGACAGTGTCAATCACATAGAGTCATCTAAAATTCTTAAATTATTTTTGTTATTTATCACTCACATCTGGTGTTTAACATATAAAAATATTTGTAAATTTTTTTTACTTATTTTTTAAAATTGATTTAATTTTATTTGCAAATTTTATTGATTACTTTCAATATTTTATTGTTACCAATTATAGTTAATCACAAATATAATATACTTTAGAACATATATAAAAACTTAATTTTCTCAAGTACAAATAAATTTATAAACTTATTCTTGAGTCGTTTTTTTTCTTTATAAAGTATATTATTATAAAAATGTTGTTTAGTTAAACCTCTCTTAAATAAATATTAAAAAAATTTGTATTAAGAAAACTTTTATTATTTAGCGCTAAATAGATGCGACATTCGGCATTTGGTTGTCAAAAAAAAACATAATATATTTTATTTTATTTAAAAATACAGAAATTGTATTCGGTTTTCTAGTTAAATTCGATTTTTCAATTCCGAATGCTTCGAACTAGTACATTATATAAAAAAGTTTTTACTTTTTTGTACAAAAATTCATTACAGCAAAATGTAAAATTTTAATTTTACGCGCACAGGTTCTTTGGATTTTTTTGACAAATTTATGCCAGATGACGTGTGAATTTAACGGCAGCTCTTATGCCTTCTGTTCATTGCTCTTAGCGTAATATTTTTTTCTTTTAACCCATTATTGTTATTATCCCCATTAAATACCATAAAAAAAAGAAGTTTAAATAACTTTATATAAAGAAAAGTATTCATAATATTTTTTGAATTTTTAAAATATAATACATATACAGAGTGATTCAGTAATCAGTGACATAACATATACCATCATTTAAATTTTAAGACATCAAAAATGACTAAAATATTTGTTCAGAACTAGGAGTCAAATCTCAACGGTTTAAAAGGTTCAGGGGTTTTAAAGAATTTTAGAGAAATATCTTTTTGTCCAACTTTTGTTTGCTTATAACTTCCCTTCCGCAAAAGATTGATGTTTCTAATAAATAATTTTTGAAAAATTACGATAATTTTTTGAGCTTACACATTTTATTAAGGCCTTTTCAATCTTGAATTACAAATAGTTTTTTTCCTTTATCTCGTATACCATACAAGATCTTTTAACATTTAGTGATTCAAATTAAAGCTTAAGAAAGTAGACAAAGTTCTGTAAAAATAAAAATTCAATAGAAGAGAAAAATTAAATTTTTTCCAAAGTTCGAAAGCTTGGTATTCCGAAAGTACATAAAACACAAAATAATATGTTTCTTTCAAGTCCTGTAGCAAGCCTTTCAAACACTTCTTATTTGAAGTTTCTATCTTTTACGGAAAGGAAGTTATAAGGAAAAAAAACTTTTTCCTTAAAAGCAAGAAATTTTTTGAAAATGTTGTAAAATCCCTGAATCTCGGAAACCGTTGAGATTTGGCACCTAGTTCTGAACAAAACTTTAAGTAATTTTTTATGCCCTAAATGATGGTATATGTTATGTTACTGATGTCTGAATCACCGTGTCTAAATTTATGATAAAAACTTTAATAATTAAAATTTCTAATTAATTTTCTTTGTTATTACAAAACACTTTCAAATCCAATGATACCATTAAATCTTTTTATATGTAAAGAAAAAAAAAAACTTATCCAGTACCATTTTTTCCCTTTTTTGCAGCTTTGGTAAAAGAAATGGTGGAAGTTGTCGGCGTTCAAGCGAGTGTTTCGTTTTGGAATCATCTGAAATGATTGTGGTTAGTATTTAATTTTTTTTGTCGCAATTTACTGTTATATAAATCGTAATGACATTAACAAAAAAATATTTAAGGTTGAATATCCCGAAATTTCATCATCTATACCTACAAATTTAATAAATACTTCACATTTTTTTCAACAACAACATCAACAGCAGCAACAGTTAAATAGAAACAACTGTGGAATCATAAAAAATTCTATTAGCGGCTCAACAACATCTATTAAAAATCAAAATATTGATGGTAATTCACCATCTAATCCAGCTTCATCATCAGCGACAGTGTCATCACCTACAGCTGGAGCCACAGGTGGAACTGGATTGCCAAATACAATAATATCAAATTCAATTAATAATTGTAATAATATTAATGCAGTTAAAAAAAATAATAAACAACAAAATACCGGCGTACAGCAACAATTACATACATCTAATCAAAATTCATATTCTCAGTCACCAATTATATCACCAGCGTCAGCTGGATCACTTTCAATATCTTCAGTAGCCGGAATTTTATTATCACCAGTATCAAATTGCAGTAAATCAAATTTAATATTAAGTGGTAGCTGTACATCAACAAATACAAGTGAAACAAATTTAAATTCTTCGTTTAGTGGTGGTAATATTAATTTACTTAAACAACAACCACAGCAACATTTATCTCAGTTCCATCATCAACAACAACAACAGCAGCAACAACAACAATCTCAATCTTCATTACTTCATCAACATCAAGAAAAAAATCAACAGAAAAATCAATATCTCAATACTTTCTCAATACCAATAAATAGTGGTTGTCTAAGTATACATTCTAATAGTCAGCAACATCATCGTAATAGTACACCATCAATTTTATGCACAATCAATAATTTTAGTGCAAGTAGCAGTGGAATAAATCAATCGAATACAATTAACTCGAATATTAATTTTAAATCAGTCAACATGGATCCACATCATATTAGGCATTCGGGGGTGAGTAGTTTTTCTCACTTTTTATCATACCTAAATGATATAAAATTTAAATAAAATACAAAATATTTTTCTTTAGCTTCCTGGAAATCGTCCAGAATTATACCAGAAATGTAATAGGGGTTCACATTCTAGTGATACAAGTTCGGCATATAGTGGGAGTGATACTATGACTTCTGTTCATAGTTCATCGTTAGATACCGACGAAGTTGATTTAAGTGGTTTGGTAGAATCGGTAGTTGATTCTGATGAAGAAGATCTTGCAGAAAGCATGGATGTAAGAACTTTCTTGTCGAATTTTGCATTATTCTAATTACTTGTCTTTTTTTTTGTAGAGTCTAAATGTTCGTGATGCTGTACGTGATTGTCTTGAAAAGGATCCATCTGAAAGAACAGAAGATGACATAGAAGCTCTTTTAGAATTAACTCAAGGTTTAAAAGCATTTACAAATATGACATTAGCTGTAAGAAAAGCTTTATGTTCAGTTATGGTTTTCGCGGTAGTTGATAAGGCTGGCACAATGGTTATGAGCGATGGCGAAGAATTAGACTCGTGGTCTGTTTTAATAAACGGGCATGTTGAAATAGAACATAAAAATGGTGAAAAAGAGGAACTTCATGTTGGTGATAGTTTTGGTATATTACCAACAATGGATAAATTATATCATAGAGGGGTTATGAGAACAAAATGTGATGATTGTCAATTTGTGTGTATTACACAAACTGATTATTATCGAATACAACACCAAGGTGAAGAAAATACTAAAAGACATGAAGATGAAAATGGTCAAGTTGTAATGGTAACCGAGCTAAGACAAATTGGACCAGATACAGCTGGTACAAGTTCCAGACGGGGCCACGTTGTTATACGCGGCACAATTAGTCGGTTAATGGTACAGTTAATTGAGGAGAATTCTATGACAGATCCAACATATGTTGAAGATTTTTTATTAACCCATCGCACATTTATTGAAAATCCAAAAGAAGTGGCTAAACAATTATTACAGTGGTTTGAAAATGAAGATACATCGCCATTGCACACAAATGCAAGTGGTATGGAAATTCGAGATCGTGTATCTCGTGTGATTTTGCTTTGGGTGAATAATCATTTCACAGACTTTGAAATGGATCCTGAAATGATGGAATTTTTAGAAACTTTTGAAATGGGTTTGGAACAAAAACAAATGCCTGGTCAGTTAAGGCTGTTACATATAGCATGCGCAGCTAAAGCTCGAACTCGTAATGTTACATTAACGCGTTCGTCGCGTGATGAAGACTTGAATTTCAAAATTATAGGCCCAACAGAACGGGGTAGTTATGGTATTTTTGTGTCACATATTGAACGTAAAACGAAAGCTGAAGATGTTGGTTTAAAGAGAGGGGATCAAATTTTAGAAGTGAACGGTCAAAGTTTTGAGCATGTAACACATAGTAGAGCAATGGAAATTTTAATGGGATCAACGCATTTAAGTATAACTGTTAAAAGTAATTTGTTAGCATTTAAAGAAATGTTACAACAATCTGATACAAAATCACCAAGATCAAGATCAAATAGAAATAGAATCTGTGTTAGTGATTTAGCTAAATTAAATTCAAATGACCCAAGGCAAACAGCAGCTGCAGTTGCTAGACTATCGACACATGAATTATTATCAACTTCAATGACTGCAACGGGAGATCAAGTTGATTATTGTCAGTCGTCATTTCGCGATTTATCAAGTCAAGGCAATCCTAGTAATAGCTGCAATTTTGTATCAAATTTTTTGCATAATCCAACACGCAAAGATTCAAATCAATCATCAGGCTCTGCGTCAAATAAAGGTGGTTTCATGACATTGGGGCCAAAGCGTAGGATACAGAAAGCATTAATAAAAATGAATTTATTACCAAAGAATAATTCCTCTAGCTCTGGTCAACAAATAAATAATCCAGGATCAAATTGCGATGACGAAGATTCATCTTTATTAGGAAATAATAATAATGATAGCAAAGGAATAACCAATTCAGTTATAGGTTCGGGTGCATCTCTACCAGGATCACGTAGTAATAATAATAGCAATAATTCTAGCAATAAAATGAACAGTGCAAATAGTAATAATATGCAAACGTCAAATATGAGGAATAATATAAGTGAAAACTCAACCCCTTCACTATATCATTGCCACAGTAATCCAGATTTAACATCGGTAGCATCAAAATCTGTTACGATTGTTGGTAATAACGATAATGAAATTAATCAAAATTCTCAAACTGATTCCTTGGCAAATATGAACACAAATAATGTTTCATTAAATACATGTATTGCTGCACAACAAATTCTTACACCACAACATCAATCGGGTACAATTTATTATGAAGATACAAGACAAAGTGATTATCCAGAACATGTGCTTAAGGTTTATAAATCTGATCAAACTTGCAAATATTTATTAATAAATAAGGAAACAACTGCACATGAAGTTGTTATGCTAGCATTACAAGAATTTGGTATACATGAAACTTCATCTAATTTTTCGTTATGTGAAGTATCTGTTAGTGAAGGCGGTATGATTAAACAGCGTCGTTTACCAGAACATTTACAAAATTTAGCAGAGCGTATTGGTTTGTCAGCTCGATATTATTTAAAAACAAATGGTATCACAGAAACTTTAGTACCTGATGATTTAGCACCTGATTTAGTACGAGAATCAGTTGTACATTTACTTCAACTCAATGCCAATGAAGTGGCTATACAGTTAACATTTCAAGATTTTGCAATATTTAGACAAATTGAATCAACCGAATATGTTGATGATTTATTTGAAATACAATCACGTTATGGCACGCCAATGTTAAAACAGTTCTCTGAATTAGTTAATCGTGAAATGTTTTGGGTTGTAACTGAGGTATGTTCAGAGCATAATATGGTTAGACGAATGAAAATTGTAAAACAATTCATAAAAATAGCAAGACATTGCAAAGAATGCCGGAATTTTAATTCAATGTTTGCTATAATATCTGGTTTAGGCCACGCAGCTGTTTCAAGATTAAGGCAAACGTGGGAAAAATTACCAACGAAATATCAAAAATTGTTTAACGATTTACAAGATTTAATGGATCCGTCACGTAATATGTCTAAATATCGTCAATTGGTTTCAGCTGAGCTTCTAGCTCAACATCCAATCATTCCATTTTATCCGGTTGTGAAAAAAGATTTGACATTTATTCATCTAGGTAACGATACTCGTGTAGAAAATTTAATTAATTTTGAAAAATTAAGAATGATAGCCAAAGAAGTTAGATTATTGACACATATGTGCAGCTCAACTTATGATTTATTAACGATGTTAGAATTTAAAGGTCAACCACCAAGTTCAGCAATGGTTGCATTAAATCAAATGTCAGTATCAACTGGACCATGTGCTGGTAGTAGTAGTGGTAATAATAGTAATAGTGGTAGTAATGTGGGTGTTGGTAGTGTTATTGGTGGTACAATGAGTGGTGTTACCAGTTTGTTGTATGTTGGTGGTGGTAATGCAACAGTAAAAAGAAGAAAAAAATCAGCAGCAGCACCTAATCCAAAGAAAATGTTCGAAGAAGCTCAAATGGTTCGTCGGGTCAAAGCATATTTAAATAATATGAAGGTAAAATTAAAAAAGGAAATTTATAATTTAATTGTTTCACGTTCTTTTTCCAAATTTGATTATATTATTTAGATTATGACAGACGAAGATGTGTTACACAATCTTTCGTTGGAATGCGAAGCAAGTACGGGAGGTCATGGGGGTGGTGGGAGTATTGGATGTAATTCTGCACCAAATACAACTACAACTGTAAGAAAACGTCATCCATCCCCTACATTATCTACAACTAGTTCAACTAGTTCAACTAGTGAAGGTAAAAAAGGTAGTTTGGGTGGTGCTTCTAATGTTGGACCAAAGTTTGGCACAGCATCACCACAAGCAGTTAAAAAAATATTATCATTATCTGAGTCAACAAAAACAAGACCGCATCAACCACGTCATCCTAGTATACAATTACCATTAGTTAATGTTGGAAATTTACATCATCCTTTTTCACATACTTCAATATCACCATCTCCATCACCGGGATCACATAGACGAATGGGGTCATGTAGTAGTACAAGTAAGTGATTTGTAAACTTTTTCATATTTTACTTTTTCTATTATTCTTTTGAATTATTTATTCCAATAATAAAGAAGGAAATATTTTTTTAAATAAAGGTACGACTGGCTCAGGAAATGTTACAAATAATGGTAATAACAGTATCGGAATCGTTTCACCAGCTGGTACAGTACTTGTAAGCGCCGCCAGAGGAATACATGAACGATCACATTCTGATACACCAACACCTTTACCTTCAGTAGATCTATCAGCTGAAAGTAGTAGTGTAACATCTTTAAGTAATTTACCGTTAAGGAAAAATATTACATTGGCAGGTAAGTCTAATTGTGTGTGGGCTTATACGCTTACAGGGTATACATACAGGGTATTCGAGACTCAATGGAATTCCCAAAGCAGAATGATAGAATGAGTTCAGACGAACGAAAAAAACCAATTGACATTTTACTTTTTGGACCCCTAAATTATGTTATATGAAAATGAAGTTCAGAATACAGAGCTTTTCTTCCTGTAAAAAATCGATAGGTAAGTAACGTGTAATTATTAGTAAATTGGCTATTAAAGGAAAATTTATTGAGATTCACCAGCTTTAAAATGGGTATACAAGGCGTACCTGTCATATTTCCCGAATTATAAAAAAATGTAAAAATTAGACTGTAATTATTTTCATACTCAGATATTCATACTTTGAGCTCCCATAACCCGAGAAGGAGGGTCCAAAAAGTAAAATGTAACTTTTTTTTTTCGTCAGAAGTCATTCTATCAACCTGCTTCAAGAATACCATTGAGTCTTGAACACGCTGTATACATATGAAACATTATATTTATATATATTTTTAAAAGATTTAAGATAAAGTATGCCGATACATATGTATGCATACAAAATTTAGGCAATTTTTAGACTATTTAAGATAGCTAATTTGATAAGGGAAATTTACCATATTTTAACTGTTTTTTTTAATCATCACTATTACAGTTTTTGTTTCTTGATCTCGACAAATTAAAATGTAAGCGACTCTTAATTTCTATTTAATCTTAAAAAATTTTATACTTAAAATTTGGAAATATTTTGAGAATATTTAAAAAATTTTAAAATGTTAACTTAGAGTCAATTTTAGATTTTAGTTTTCGAGTTCTAGTGTTGCAAATTTAGTTATACGGTGTTACAATAATTGAAATATGTGTACTGAGTAGATAATAAACTCATCTATTTTTTTTTTTATTTTTGTAATTTTTAAAATGAAAATTATCTTACAATTGCACAAAAGTATATTTATAATATTGTTAATAAATGTATTGTACGAATTTAAATTCGTAATACTGATATACAATGTCTCGTATCAAAATGCACTGCTATTTCGCATTGTATAGGCCTTCATGAGTAGACAAAATTTTTGTATGTTTGAAGATGTTCACAGTTCTATATGTTCAGAGTTGCAACGACTTATTTTTTTGTTTTTAAAATTCCAAGTACAGCTTCGTGCCTGTGAAAGATAGTATTCCATTTTTCTCAATAGCTCCTTAATTTGATCAGGTAATTTGATAAATCATATACTCAAATGAAGCTCAGTTTACATATAATGCGTCACATACAAAATTAACTTGTTTTAAAAATGAAAAGATGAATTTCAAATTTTTGAACTTTAAAGCCATTCGTTTCTGAAGTCTGAACAGATTAAAACTAATGTAGATATTCATCAGAAAGCCCTTATTTTAGGTTTTCCAAATCATATTTAATAATGCGCCTATTAATCAGGCACGGAGTTTTATTTGAAATTTTAAAAAGTAAAAAATCTGCAATTCGATTTTCGTGAAACGATTTTCATATTTCTTTCCATTTCTGTAAATATGAAAATCGTTTTACGAAAACCGAATTACATTGTAAGGCTCAATGAGCTGTGAACATCGTCTCTATACAAAAGTTTTGTCTAAAAGTTCATGAGGGCCTATACAAAGGTGCATAGCAGTGCACTTTGATACGAGACACCCTGTATATAAATTTGTATTTTGTAAATTTTCTTCAGGTTCCACTGGTTCATGTACTATGGTTGAAATTTCAATTGAAAATTAAAGAAGATAATTGTTTTAATTTAAATTGTTTCAAGTTAAAATTCCACTTGAGTGAATGAACATAGTAACTCACCTTCTCAAATACCTTTCAAATAAAATTTTACGATCATTTGCAGAAATGTCCTGTTAACATAAAAAAATGTCATTGAAAATAAATCGAAATTCAATTTGAAATAATTTGAAATATTTTCATTTTACTAAAAAACTAGTTGCAGATATTCGATAATTTTTTTAAGTAAAATTTTTTACATGATGATATTTTGTAAATAATTATGTATCATAAATTATGTATAGTTATGTAATTAAGATATTCATTTTATGCATGTATATAAATAATATTAATTGTGTATATACATTTATATAATAAAAATAATAAAATAGGATCAGTAACATCAAATGATAGTGGTCATGGTTCATGTGTACAAGCCGAAATCCATTCAAACTGCTCCGATAGTAGTAGTAGTAGCGGTTTATATCATGTAGCTTCATCAATAGTCCATAATTCACCATCACCGACCTTACAGCAACGTCGTCATTCATCAACACATGGTAAGTGTCTCTGTCTTTTTCTTTTTTATTTACAATTTATGTACATAAATTGTATTATACAATGTATATACATATATACATTATATATATATATATATATATATAAACATATATATATGCATATATCTCTATATCTATATATATATATATATATATATATAATATATATTTACATATATATATATATATATATGCATATATATAACTATATAATATATTATATAATATAATATTTTTTTAATTTTTATATTGCATACGAATTTTGTTAGTCTTTTCTCTTAATTATAAATGATTTCGTTTCTTGATTTCATAATTTATGATTTTTTTTTTGAACTTGACGTTTATATTATTGTGTATACACTTTAAATTATTGTCTTTAAAAATTGGGGTGAAATAAAAATAATAATATAATAATCAATTTATTTTTAAACAATTAAGATACGAAAAATATGATTTGGATTAACGAATTATTAACGTAAAAAATAAAATATAATTGCTTAAATTCTTAAAGAGGTGTATTACTAATTATTATCTACTTGAGGTGATGTGACTGGCTATTATCTCAGTGACGTACGCAACTAACACAGAATATTGGGCGAATATTGTTGGTTCACTAAATCACTAATGATATTAATAGTATTGTCACGTAACTTTCTCACGTTACTTTCGTCATAGTATGGAACCCTTTTCGACCTTTTTTTTTTCTAATACAGGTGTTAAAAATTATCGAAAGACAAAGATTGGCGGACTCAACATGTCCATCAGACCTATCAATAGTGGGGACTTTAACCCAACCTAAAACGCACCTGGATAGTCATACTCCTTAAACTATTTAAACTGGCTAACCCTCAGTTTTATATTACATTAGTTTTCTCTATATTTGTTTTCTAATTCTAATCTTTTCTTGTTTACATCTTGATTTCCATCTGAGCTTGACATCCAAAGTCATATCTAGGTATTTCGCTGTGTTTCGCATTGATACTTTAGCACTCTTCAAACTCAATTGTGGTGTGGGTAGCCTTATTTTTCATGTATTTGTCCATTTACTTATATTATTGCTTCCTGTAATTTTTTTGTCAATTCTTCAACACTTGATCCCACTGGAAATATTGCTGTATCGTCGGCAAATGTAGCCAAAGTTACACCCTCTACATCACGCAAATCACTTGTATAAAGCACGTATAATTGCCCTAATTTCCCTAAGCGTAGAGTACTCGTCGTTCTGTTTGATTCAAAGTCAGATAAATATAGCCTGTTTGATAAACCTGTCAGATAAATATGATTCAAGTAAATCTACGAATTGCAAAGGTATCAATTTCTTAAGTTTAAATAATAAACCGTCGTGCCAAATTAAATCGAACGCCTTGGACACGTCCAGAAATATTGTCGAACATATTTGCCTTTCCTCTAACGCTTTTTCCACAATATTTGTTATTCTGTGTGCTTGGTCAAATGTCGCATGCTTTGTTCAAAAACCAAACTGATGGTTTGGAATCAATTTCTTATTTTGTATTATAGGCATCAGCCGTGTTTTTTTTTTCAAAAAATTTCGATGTCATTAGTAGTAGATCGGTCTATATGTTTTTGCCTCATTCAAGAGTTTCCCCGGTTTTCCTATTGCAATTTTCCTAATGACTGGTTAACTGCTGCATTTATTAATTTTCTCAAAAATGTCATAACCTTTCTGAGGAACTCTCTTAATATCTCAATAGTAATGAGATCAAAACCTGGTGTGTTATTTGGTTTAAGCGACTTTATCGCTTGGCAAATATCTTTTTCATTAAATAAAGCCATAGTGCTTTCATCTATCTTCTATAAAAAAAATATTAGAATTCAGCTCATTTGGTTGAAAAATTCCTTCTAAGTGATCAACAAATAGTTCAGCTTTATCACTGTTGTTTTTTGCACATGATCCATCTGCTTTTTCAACGGGGGGATTTGCTTTATCGGCCTCTTGGTACTCTTCGTTGCTTTCTAAAACGTATAATTCGGTTTCTTAGTTGCCGATAACCCCTTTATATAATTCTCGTATGATACTGATTTAAAATTTTCTATTTTTCTTTTGAGTGTTTGAGAAAGTCTATTTACAATTGTTTTATCGTCTGGGTGACGCGACTCTTGCCATTTACGTGTCTGCATTCTTCTTTGTACTATTAAATCAGTTATGACATTAGGATAATTACATGGTACAGGTTTCAATTCAGAGATTTGAGCCTTGTATTTTTTCAGGCGGCTTTCTGTATCAATTTGATAAAACCCTCCACCTCAAATCCTAGTCGATTTCCAGTCTGCAGCTCAACATTAAGAATTATATGTCTAATAACATCATGTTTGAAGCCTATCCAATGTGTGGTTTTGTTGACTAAAGTCGGTACGCTTCGTTTGTTAACTATTTTCTCTCTAAGAATCAATATTACAGCAGAGTGGGCCAATAAATCGGACTTCCAGCAGAATGATAGGAACATTCCAACTCCCGAATAGCTTTCTTTAGTTCTCTATCTCTAGTCGTGCTCAATCTAGAGCCCCATTCTACATGTTTGGTATTATAGTCTCCTCCCAGTAAGAATCGGTTTCCTCCCGCGCGTCGCAGATGCTTAAAAATATCCTGTTAGGATGTAATATAAATCCTGGCGGATAATATAGTGAACCATCATTGAAGTCCTGCTGGTAAACTCAATTTTAAAAAAAACAAAAAGTTGAACCTCCTTTATTTTGGATTCCTCATTACGTTTTATGGTTTCTCTAATTAAAATAGGACTATCTCCTCTTGAATGGTTACCAGGGTGAGTTGCCCAATAGCATCTATAAATCAGTACATCCAAGTCCTTCATATCTGACAATAAACATCCATCGACATTTTTAACTCTAGAATTTTTTCGACATCTTCTTTTAGTAAAACCTCCAATTCGTGTTTTCTAGAATGCGATTTGCGTTCCACGTACCAATTTGTATCTTATTTACTGACATTTTTCAGATATACGTTAGTGTATCTATTCTGCATAGTTGTTAGTTTCATTCTTCAAACTTCCCCCATCGGAGGAGACCTTGCAGCCCTTGGGCTTTTGCCAAACGGGCTCACCAATTTTCGATCTTTTTTTTCCACTAGCAATTTCTCTGAACGTTTTGAACATTCAGCTAAGCCCTCGCCGACAATCGTGGCGTCTGCCAACACTTTGGTAGATATCCGTACCGCATTTATATTCTTATAATTGGACATTTCATATTTGTTTATAAGTTATACGGCTATTAACCCAACCAGGGTTCCTTCCACTGCCGTCCCTCTGGAATGGGACGCAAACCAAGAAGCCGTCCATTTTGGATCAGACGTCCCTGAATTTTGTCCGGATTTTAGTGGACTTTTGTTTTTTAAACACTATTAAATCGCTTTCAATTTGCTTTAATTTGCGAATATTCATTATATAAGATTTGAAATCAAAATTTTAATAATTCAGCAAAAATAAATTCAATATCAATTTTTAGTCTTAGATTTTTAGTAGCATGTGAGAGTGAATATTTTTTCCATAAAAAATTATCAAAAATAGTTTTTGAACGCATAAGCATGAAATTTTTTAGGTTTTTTTTTGATAACATTTTTTGATTATTAAAAAAAAAAGATAAACAAAGAACCTCATTGCGGAAGGCGGACGGAATAATATAATGTGTGCAGTTCGGTTATATATTGTTGATTACATAAGATCCGATTAACATTATTCTGTTTTAGAATATCTTTATAACTAATGGATCTGTTAAAATCTGTCTTGTTTATGGACTTGATAATCGCCGATTCATAATCTCATAGGCTGATTCATATCAGGTTCTCAAAAATGTCGTATTTACACGATTTCATATATCGTGATGGCTGTATTTATTTTATTTATAATGCAATATGCTATTACTTTTGTATTTTTGAGATGATAGTTAAGTATCTTTCGCAATGTGGTTTAATTTTAGTGTAGAATTTTACTGAATTTTTTGTTTCTATTTTTGATTTTATTTTTGGTTTCAAACTACATTGATCACCTTTAATTATATTATTTTAATTCATTTTTTAAATTTATTTTTAATTGAAATTTTTATTATATGAATTAATAAATTGTCATTTATACATTTTGACTCTTTAGGATTAAATTAAGAATTGAAATAAAAAAAGAAAGTAAAAGAATATAAAATCAAAATTACACATCCACACATATTGGGGCAAAAAAAAAACAACAAAATAATTAAATTTACAACTATCAGATTTATATATGAGAAAAAGAAATAAATAGAATTCCACATAATACACACATGGATATTTATAAAAAATACAAAAATAATATTATAAAAAATACTAAGTAATTAATTAAAAAAAAAAATAACCTATATATTTCGTGTATTTTTGTTAGAAGATATTATATAATTATATGTATTTCTTTAATGATATGTGTATGAGTACACTCAAAGTATAGAAATTCAGTATATTGAAATTTTGCTACAATTTCAAAAATGTTAGTTGTTCATAGCATAATAAACTAAATTAACTCATATAATTTTTATTTTTATGAGGCAATTACCACAAATTAAGCATTAATTACTATGCATTAAAACAATTATTTAATCGCATTATAGGCAACTTTCACTTACTGCGAAAAGAATTTCCTGCAGATTTAAATTTAAAATCAAAATTTAATCACACAGAAGTCGGCTCGTGAGAAATCTCGTAATATTCCCCTCTATTATGAACATCGGTATCGGCCGATATATAATCGGCAGTTCTAAGATTTTAGGTTTCTTCTGTATTATGAACCGATACCGATAAAAATATTTCAACCGATTAAAAGAAGCTTCTTCATTTTGCTTTTTGTTTTTGTAAATTGGAGAAAAAGTTTTTTTTTTCTAATGACATTTGTTTTCTTTCAAAAGTTATTTTCAAAAAATTTTTAAAACTATTTTGAATTTGGTTTTGATGTGCTAAAAAGTTGTTGTAAGCAAATTATTTTCTGTTAAATTTGTAAAATAAAAATATACATATATCGGGAAAATGTCGCGTGCATTTTATTTTGAAAGTGAAGAAACGGTAGTAAGTGAAGAAACGGTAGTAAGTGAAGAAACGCAAGCTATTCAAAGACGACATATAAGAGATTCAACTAATCCATTGGATTTAGACAACAAAATGTATGTTTATGTACCTATTTTATTTTATTATTTATATAATGTGTACACATTTTTTAGGTTTATCCAGAATTTCAGATTATCATTCCTTGCCAGGTTTAAGTCCTCTTCCATTTTTTCTACTAACCGCGCAATTTGTTTTTTGTTGCTTACGATTTTACTCCTAAATAAAATATATGAATAACATTTTGAAAGAAAATAATTTAGAAAAAATGCTTACATTTTAAAAAAGCAATTAATTACACCAGTTTCCTTGATTAAATGAAGATTTTACAAAAAAAAAAAAATCTGTCGTCTAAAAATTTGTACCCGCTTTTAAATCGGTGAAAACCCGACAATTTATCGTTTTCATAATACCAGCTAATACGTTGCCTATACAGGGAAAAAAAGCTTTCCCGACTCCGATAAAATTTACCGATAAACAATGTTGGTAATACAAACGCAAAATTTTGCCGATAAATTATCGTTTATCGGCCGATACCGATATACATAATAGAGGGGATTGTTTAACGCTATGAAAATTAGTAACATATTTTGACAAAAAAATTCTTTGAGTGTACTTTAATATTCATGTGACCCTTTCATCCAAAAGACATAGTTTTTATAAGTACGTTCCATTATTTTAAATAATTGTTTTCCTTATATTAATTTTGTATGTACATATACATACATACATGTATTTTAAATTAGACTCAATATTGGGTATTTATTTGAAAAAACGTGTCACTATATATATATTCGAAAATAGTATCTAATCATCAGAATTTTAATAAAAATGTATTGCATTATTAGTATTTAATTTCATTTCTTTTATCAACTTGAATGCATTTTCATAGCCATTTTTTTGGCAAGCTCTCCCTAAAAAACTAATGGTAATGTTTTTTACATAATTGTAATTAACTTTAATAATTTTATACGAAAAGTATCCAATTTTTTTTATTGTGTAAAATAATTTTGGAATCGGAGGGAAATATGAAATATTACAATTAATCAATATTTTCTTCTATGAGCAAAACAAAATGTTTTTGTTTTATTTGATAATGAAAAATTAGAGACAAAGAGTCATAATTCAGATTCAAGACTTATTATATACGTAATGATCTTTTATTTAAAGTGATGCGTCTTTTGCAATTAAAGGTAGTTTTATTACATATTATGTTTTTTCTATTTTTTTTATTGTAATGCACTTAATTTACAATCGCAAATCACGAACATGCATATACATAAATCTTGATGCACAACACGTTCTTAAGCACCGAAACACAAAATTTTAACAATGAAAATATTGCGTATTTAACTACTACGTAATTTTTAGTACTCGTATGAAAAACAGAGACAGCTTTAACAGGTTATTTTTATTTTGTAATTTTTTTTTGGATTGCAAGTACAAAAATTTTAAAATTAGTGTAACAAGGAAAAATTTGACGACAGGCTACCATATCACCTTGCTTACTATGAATACGTTTTTTCATTTTTGTGGATATTATATTCTAAAAAGTCCCTCGCTTAAATGTTTCATTTTAGATCGTGTAAAAAAACCTATGCCTTTATTTCTCTAAAAAATAATTATGGTATGTCGCATCAGACAATTCATTTTGCTATTTTTTATGTTGAGTTTAGAAAAATTTAACTTCGTTTTGATATTCTTATTTTCGTTATTTTGTAAATGTGTACATATGTATGTCTTTTTACCTAAAAATTAATTTAACTCTTTTCATTATTTTCTCCTACCAACTGACCTCGTTAATCGTATAACTTGAAAAACAAATACATTTTTTTCTTTTGTTTTGGTTTTAATTTTTCCTTTTTTTTTCCTTTTATTTACTTAAAATATAACAAAATTTACACTTAAAATGAAAACAAAAAAAACCAATAAACATGTGAATAAAATGCAAAAAACAAATATGTTGTTCAAATTCGAAAAATTTTTAATTTTCAAAATAAACAAAAAAACAAACGAAAAAAATATGGCAAGCAGCTGGTTTATTCATTTGTCCAACAACAGCAACAAGTCCATCACCAAGTGCTTGTAGTTTTGATAGCGGTATACATGATAAACCACCACCTATACCACCACCACACCATTCCTTGCAACAACAGCATTTATCTCAACGTGCATTTTCACCATCGATGCTAGATTGTAAAAATCAAACATCGATTGCTTCAACAACAGCAACAATTATAACGCCTTCTTCGACGACACCAATATCATCAAATCAAATAATTGGTATTGCATTACCTGCACATATTCCTGTCTCAGTGCCCATTTCATTATTAACAAATAATTTACAGTCGCAGCTAGAAGAGCAGCAACAACATTCACAATTTTTTCTTCATCAACAACAGCAACAACAACAACAGCAATCGTCACCATCAACAAATCATAGTTGTAATGATAGTAATCATTCTTTACATACTACTTCCGCTGTTTCAAATTTTTTACATTTCCCCTCTAATAATGCTACATATTGTGAATCAATGAAGAATTTAACGGTAAAACAACAACAACAAAACCGATTAAAAAATTATCAACTGGCGAGTGGTGAAGAGGATTTAGGTTTTAGTTGCGGTGATGTTGGTAATCATACAAGCGGTAACAGTAATAAAAAATATAATGTTGTTGATGTTGGTAATAACGATGGTGATATTATTATTGCCGGTGGTAATATATGCGTTGGAAATAATAATTCCAGCAGTGGTAAAGTAATATTAAATTATAAAAATAAGTCAATTTCACCAGCAATTATTGATGCATCATCATCAGGAAAATTGATGACTATTCCATCATCAACTCAAATGGTTCCAATAACAACAAGATTTAAATCAATTAATATAGCTTCCACAACAGCGATAACAACAACAATAACAACTACAACAATCGTTACATCAACAATTACAGGAAATACAACCACGCAAACAACAAGTACATCATCACAACCACAACTCAAAAATTTACTAGCTCTTCAACAAAAACAAACACTCTGTCAACAACCGAAGAAACAACAACAATACCTAAATTATTATCTACAACAAAATTCCAATAATAATTGTAATAATATTAATATTTCAAATATTAATGATAATTTAATTGTGGAAAATCTTACAATTAGTGGTAATGGTGGTGGTGATGAAGTTAGTAATAACACTAATGTTGTTGATCATATGAGTTTCAAAGATAATAATATTATACAAGCTAAACAATGTCAACAACAAAAACAATCACATCATTTAGGAAATACGAAAATAACCAATTTTAAATATATACACCAACAAGAAATTCAACAATCAAAACAACAACAACAACAATCGCAATTACAACATAATCAAATATCATCAAATCTAGTTCACACAACAACAACAACACCTAAAATTGGTAGGTATCATAGAATTCGAGTACAAAGTATTTTACTAAAACAAAAAAAGCGTTTAGTAAAGGTATTTTTACAAGACAGCATTACAATATGTGTATATATGTATATATGTGTATATATGTAAAAACAACACAAACTAACCAATATACTTTATGAATATTACTGATATTATTATTATTCTTTCGTAATACTTAATGACATTTTAGATTGTTGCCCTCATATAATAAAACGAGATATGCCCAAAAAGTCCAAAAGCTCATATTAATTTTTGCAGCGCAAAAAAAAACAAACTTCACATTCTCACTTTCTCATTTTAACTGTAAACAACAAAGCAGAAACAAAAACAGACAAAACATCTTTAATATTAATTTGAAATGTAGAAAAAATAATGGAAAACTTATATAACTTTTTTTTGACTTTTCATCTCTTTCTAATTTCATATATTGTTATTTAATACTATATTTGTAGCCTCTTGAATGAATTCTTTTCTTCGTTTTGCTATTATTATTCTTTTCTCTTTATTAATATTTTCTTATGAATTATTATGTAATAAATACATTCATAAAAACATTCTTCAAAGTTACAGTAATTCCGGCGGTGTTAATACTCGTACATAATTCAGCTAAGAAATTCTTATTGCTAAATTGTGTAATATTGCAACGCAGTATATATGTATATATATTTATTGTATGTGTAGAAAATAATTGTATATTTGTAAATATTTAAAATTAAAATTTGAAATTTGTTAATCACAGTAAATTATTTTGGCTTTTTTTTTTTTTTTTTTTTGGTTTCATTTTTTTAATGTTTTGCATGTTCACAATTTTGATTTCTGTACTATATATTATAAAATAACTTTAAAATTTTTGAAAGAAAATTATTTATAAATTTTCAGGTACGAGTATAAAAATAATAAAAAGTATTCTGTTTTATTACAAAACCACAAATCAAAGTTAACTGTCATACACAAAACAGTAATTGGTGCAATCGTATTTAGTGTTATCAGAATCGTATTATTGCAAACTTAAAGCTAGGGAGTAACTTATATATATAATTTATTATAATAAATAATAAATACTTAAACATTCCTATTAAACAGTCCCATTAATATATTTATTTTATATGTTGACATCTTTGTTTTTTGCATTTGTTCTTTGTGTATATTTCACAGCTTTAATGTTGAATCATGGTGGGAGGTGAAAGTTTTTTTTGCTTTGACAAAGTAAACAATTATTAGATTTCTATGCAGGATGATACACCAACAAGTTAGGATCCGTGTACCATTGGGTAGAGGGTCGAAAATAAGTAAAATTTTTGTTCGGAACATAGTGTTAAATCGGTAATCGTTCATTTCCGACCCTCTACGCGGTGGTATACGGCTCCTAACTTGTTGGTGAATCACCTTGTATACAATTTACCATCAAAGAGAAAAAAATAGTATTATCTAACATTTAGGGACTGATCGTTTATCTTGCTATTTTAGTCGGAAAGTAAGAAGAATGTGAGTAACTATCATATACTTGTATAATGTAATTTTCGAGTGAGAAGAATAATTTGGTATTGCCTATCTCGTTTTTTATAAAATGCATACAAAATTTATTCAGTTTGTTTTTGAAAGTGAGACATTCAGTCGATAATTTGAGAAAATATGCAAAAATCATATTAAAAAAGATAGTAACCTAATTGGAAAAGTGATACGTCCATTAGAAAATACTGAGAATTCTGATTTGAAAGTGAAAAAGGGAATAAAGAAGCGAAATACAAGACCAGGCTGTTAATATCAGGTACGACTTGGTCATTGTAATATTTGCTCTAATAGTGATGTGCCTACTTCCGTAATGAGGGCAAGTTGTGTAACATGTATTTTAGTTAGTATGTTCATATAAATATAAAGTTGGGTTAAACCAACGGTTTGTAAGGAAGCAGTTTTCTCTTCATAAAGTGAAAATACTTCTTGTAGAAGCTATCTATTACATTATATCTACTACATTAAATTAGTTTCATCGATACATACACCAAATTATACATAAAACTAGCAAAACTAGGATTAAAAAAAAAAACACAGTTGAAAAAAGCATTAACATAACGGTTGAATTTAGACGGTTAAGCAAGTGAGTTAAGAAAAATAATTAAACCTTTTGATAGCATCATATTTGCCGTTAGTTATCCGCATTTTTAGAAATTTGGAAAAGCTTACAGTTTCAGAAATATATGGTGTCGAAAATTCAAATTTTATAAATTTCGGTCGCCTATAACTTGGTCGAGCTAGAAAAACGAAAAAAACTTTGTTAATATCTAAAAATTGTTAAAATTTTAGACTTCTACAGGTTATCGTCAACCAGAAAAACAGTAGCAAAAATTAAAAAAAAAAACGAATTTTAGCTAACGTTTAATTTTAACGGTCATTTTGCCTTTAAGATCAACAAAACTATACCGACGTAGACAAAGCTCATTACTACTTTTTAGTTTTTGCAGAATTTAAAAAATGTTTGTAGTTTCGCTACAATATATAGTCAAAAAATGAATTTTTTAAGGACTTTGAGGGGCTATAACTTTTAGAAAGGGCGAGTTAGGAAAAAATTTTCCGCTGCGGAAATACGGAAAAGTTTCTAGTAAAGATTTATATACATATATAAATGTGTACATATGAAATTTCAGATTTTTATCTTCAACCGTATAAAAGTTTTGTAAACATGTCGACGGACGGAGTGCAACTAATAAGCACTTTTTTTTCAAAAACCTTATTTAAAAGTACTAAAAAGATAATCATATATATGTAATTATATATATTAAATGTTTTATATACGGGTATAAATATTCATATTTTAATAAAAAAAAGAAACAATCAATAATATTTTATAATTAATTTTATTATCATTTTAATCTTTAGGTCATAGTATAATGGCACCACCGCCGCCCAAAGGTCCAAGACATCCACCTGCATATAGTGTTGCAGCACAAATGGCAAGACTTCATCGTTTAGGTAGAGCACATAGCCATGAGGGTGTTACAACAGCAATACAAGGAGGAGGCAATCTCAGTGGTGTAGCGACTGGTCAAGGACTATTACCACCAATTGGTGTAGCAACAACAACAACGACAACAATAACAACAACAACATCTATAACAACAGTATCACCACCACTAAATATATCATCTAATGTATCTACAGCTGGATCTATATTACCAACATCAAATATACCAAATACAACACAAATATTATCAACAACAATACAACAAAATAATGGTAACAATTTATTACAACAGCAACAACAACAACAACAGCAACAGTCACAACAATTAAATTTAAATAATATTCTTCCAATAAGTAGTGGTTATTTTCAACATTATTCACATCATCATCATCTTAGTAATATTGGAAATGACGATGGTAAATAATTTTTTAATTCAATTTATTAAAAAAAAAAACAAAAAAAATATAAAAAAATTTATTTGTTATTTAAATATATATGTATTTAGAATATTAATTTTCCTGTGACAATCAAAGAAAACTTATGGAAACATGTTTTTAAATATTGCTTGTTTGGCACAAAAGTTATGTGTAAATATTTGGTTAGCGCGTATATCTATTGTCTATTATTCTCGTTAAAATTAAAATGACCTACGTTTTGGATAATTCATTTATAACTTTGTACTAAATATGTCCTTTTTTCAAGAATAAATAACTGCACGTGCTGTCCAAAAGTGTGTTTCATAATGCATTTTTGAAGTTTGTTTTAAAGCTACAATTGCCTGTTAAGATTTTTAAGATATACACGAAACAACTCAATTTTGATTTTACTGCAGTTGAAACTATTTTGTACTATAAAAATAATTTTTAGGAATTACAAGATTTATGAGAGTAGATTGTAGATTGCAAAGCAGGGGTAACAGTGCACCGCGACCAGAAAATGTAGATCTTTTGTGCTCCCCAACTAGATGTGTGACAAAGCCCTTCAGCACCTCCTCGAGAAAGTAGATCAGAAACTTACTTTTTCGCTTGCTGTCATTCATGATCGCCTATTACTTTCATTAAAATTAAAATTGTAAAAAGAAGCAAAAAACTAAATATATTTCTAACAAAATACCAGACAACCAGTAATTGTAGAAAGTAGATCAGAAATTTACGTTTTCGCTTGCTGTCTTTCATGAGCTTCTATTACTTTCATTAAAATTGAAATTGTAAAAAAGAGCAAAAAATAAATATATTTCTAACAAAATACCAGGCAACAAGGAATTCTAGAAAGTAGATCAGAAATTTACATTTTTGCATGCTATCATTCATGATCGCCTATTACTTTCGTTAAAATTTAAATTGTAAAAAGGAGCAAAAAATTAAACATTTTTCTGATAAAATACTCGGCGAGCAGGAATTGTAGAAAGTAGATCAGAAATTTATTTGTTAGCTTGCTATCATTCATGATCGCCTTTTACTTGCATTAAAATTGAAATTGTAAAAAGGAGCAAAAAAATTAAATATATTTCTAATAAAATACCAGGCCAGAAGGAATTTTTATTTTTTCGCTTGCTACCATTCATGATCGCCTATTACTTTCATTAATAATGAATTTGTAAAAAGGAGCAAAAAATTAAATAAATTTAAAACAAAATACCAAGCAAGCAGGAATTGTAGAAAGTAGATCAGAAATTTACATTTTTGCTTGCTATCATTCATGATCGCCTATTACTTTCGTTAAAATTGAAATTGTAAAAAGGAGCAAAAAATTAAACATTTTTCTGATAAAATACTCGGCGAGCAGGAATTGTAGAAAGTAGATCAGAAATTTATTTGTTAGCTTGCTATCATTCATGATCGCCTTTTACTTGCATTAAAATTGAAATTGTAAAAAGGAGCAAAAAAATTAAATATATTTCTAACAAAATACCAGGCCAGAAGGAATTTTTATTTTTTCGCTTGCTACCATTCATGATCGCCTATTACTTTCATTAATAATGAATTTGTAAAAAGGAGCAAAAAATTAAATAAATTTAAAACAAAATACCAGGCCAGCAGGAATTTTAGAAAGTAAATCAAAAATTTACTTTTTCGCTTGCTATCATTCATGATCGCCTATTACTTTCATTAAAATTGAAATTGTGAAAAGGAGTAAAAAATTAATATATTTCTAAAATAATACCAGGCCAGCAGGAATTTTAGAAAGTAAACCAGAATCTTACTTTTTCGCTTGCTATCATTCATGATCGCCTAGTACTTTCATTAAAATTGAAATTGTAAAAATGAGCAAAAAATTAATATATTTCTAAAATAATACCAAGCCAGCAGGAATTTTAGAAAGTAAATCAGAAATTTACTTTTTCGCTTGCTATCATTCATGATCGCCTATTACTTTCATTAAAATTAAAATTGCGAAAAGGAGCAAAAATTTAAATATACTTCTAACAAAATACCAGGCCAGCAGGAATTTTAGAAAGTAAATCAGAAATTTACTTTTTCGCTTGCTATTATTCATGATCGCCTATTACTTTCATTAAAATTGAAATTGTAAAAATGAGCAAAAAATTAAATATATTTCTAACAAAATACAAGGCCAGCAGGAATTTTAGAAAGTAAATCAGAAATTTACTTTTTCGCTTGCTATCATTCATGATCGCCTATTACTTTCATTAAAATTGAAATTGTAAAAATGAGCAAAAAATTAATATATTTCTAAAATAATACCAGGCCAGCAGGAATTTTAGAAAGTAAATCTGAAATTTACTTTTTCGCTTGCTATCATTCATGATCGCCTATTACTTTCATTAAAATTGAAATTGTAAAAATGAGCAAAAAATTAATATATTTCTAAAATAATACCAGGCAAGCAGGAATTGTAGAAAGTAAATCAGAAATTTATTTTTTCGCTTGCTGTCATTCATGATCGCCTATTACTTTCATTAAAATTAAAATTGTGAAAAGGAGCAAAAATTTAAATATACTTCTAACAAAATACCAGGCCAGCAGGAATTTTAGAAAGTAAATCAGAAATTTACTTTTTCGCTTGCTATCATTCATGATCGCCTATTACTTTCATTAAAATTGAAATTGTAAAAATGAGCAAAAAATTAATATATTTCTAAAATAATACCAGGCCAGCAGGAATTTTAGAAAGTAAATCAGAAATTTACTTTTTCGCTTGCTATCATTCATGATCGCCTATTACTTTCATTAAAATTGAAATTGTAAAAATGAGCAAAAAATTAATATGTTTCTAAAATAATACCAGGCCAGCAGGAATTGTAGAAAGTAGATCAGAAATTTATTTTTTTCGGTTGCTATCATTCATGATCGCCTATTACTTTCATTAAAATTAAAATTGTGAAAAGGAGCAAAAATTTAAATATACTTCTAACAAAATACCAGGCCAGCAGGAATTTTAGAAAGTAAATCAGAAATTTACTTTTTCGCTTGCAATCATTCATGATCGCCTATTACTTTCATTAAAATTGAAATTGTAAAAATAAGCAAAAAATTAATATATTTCTAAAATAATACCAGGCAAGCAGGAATTGTAGAAAGTAAATCAGAAATTTACTTTTTCGCTTGCTATCATTCATGATCGCCTATTACTTTCATTAAAATTGAAATTGTGAAAAGGAGTAAAAAATTAAATAAATTTCAAACAAAATACTAGGAAGGCAGAAATTATAGAAAGTAGATCAGAAACTTGATTTTTCGGTTGCTATCATTCATGATCGCCTATTACTTTCATTAAAATTGAAATTGTGAAAAGGAGCAAAAATTTAAATATACTTTTAACAAAATACCAGGCCAGCAGGAATTTTAGAAAGTAAATCAGAAATTTACTTTTTCGCTTGCTATCATTCATGATCGCCTATTACTTTCATTAAAATTGAAATTGTAAAAATGAGCAAAAAATTAATATATTTCTAAAATAATACCAGGCCAGCAGGAATTTTAGAAAGTAAATCAGAAATACTTTTTCGCTTGCTATCATTCTCGACCGCCTATTACTTTCATTAAAATTGAAATTGTAAAAATGAGCAAAAAATTAAATATATTTCTAACAAAATACAAGGCCAGCAGGAATTTTAGAAAGTAAATCAGAAATTTACTTTTTCGCTTGCTATCATTCATGATCGCCTATTACTTTCATTAAAATTGAAATTGTAAAAATGAGCAAAAAATTAATATATTTCTAAAATAATACCAGGCCAGCAGGAATTTTAGAAAGTAAATCAGCAATTTACTTTTTCGCTTGTTATCATTCATGATCGCCTATTACTTTCATTAAAATTGAAATTGTGAAAAGGAGTAAAAATTTAATATATTTCTAAAATAATACCAGGCCAGCAGGAATTTTAGAAAGTAAATCAGAAATTTACTTTTTCGCTTGCTATCATTCATAATCGCCTATTACTTTCATTAAAATTGAAATTGTAAAAATGAGCAAAAAATTAATATATTTCTAAAATAATACCAGGCAAGCAGGAATTGTAGAAAGTAGATCAGAAATTTATTTTTTCGCTTGCTATCATTTATGATCGCCTATTACTTTCATTAAAATTAAAATTGTGAAAAGGAGCAAAAATTTAAATATACTTCTAACAAAATACCAGGCCAGCAGGAATTTTAGAAAGTAATTCAGAAATTTACTTTTTCGCTTGCTATCATTCATGATCGCCTATTACTTTCATTAAAATTGAAATTGTGAAAAGGAGTAAAAAATTAATATATTTCTAAAATAATACCAGGCAAGCAGGAATTGTAGAAAGTAGATCAGAAATTTATTTTTTCGCTTGCTATCATTCATGATCGCCTATTACTTTCATTAAAATTGAAATTGTAAACATGAGCAAAAAATTAATATATTTCTAAAATAATACCAGGCAAGCAGGAATTGTAGAAAGTAGATCAGAAATTTATTTTTTCGCTTGCTATCATTCATGATCGCCTATTACTTTCATTAAAATTAAAATTGTGAAAAGGAGCAAAAATTTAAACATACTTCTAACAAAATACCAGGCCAGCAGGAATTTCAGAAAGTAAATCAGAAATTTACTTTTTCGCTTGCTATCATTCATGATCGCCTATTACTTTCATTAAAATTAAAATTGTGAAAAGGAGTAAAAAATTAATATATTTCTAAAATAATACCAGGCAAGCAGGAATTGTAGAAAGTAAATCAGAAATTTACTTTTTCGCTTGCTATCCTTCATGATCGCCTATTACTTTCATTAAAATTGAAATTGTAAACATGAGCAAAAAATTAATATATTTCTAAAATAATACCAGGCAAGCAGGAATTGTAGAAAGTAGATCAGAAATTTATTTTTTCGCTTGCTATCATTCATGATCGCCTATTACTTTCATTAAAATTAAAATTGTGAAAAGGAGCAAAAATTTTAATATACTTCTAACAAAATACCAGG